TCTTACATATACACAGAAACACAATGCATTTCATTCACACACTCAATGCACACACTACAGACACACACCTTGCATCCCTTATGCATACAAACACAGATTCACACAATACATCGCTTATACACAAACACACACTGCCTCCGCTACAAATACACTGCATCACCTACACAAACTGGTATCCCTATACACTACATACCATAAGCACACACGATAGATCCTCTACAATAACACATCCCCTACACACTCCACTCCCTGTGAGCGAACTCATGGGTGGAACATGTAGGTGGACTTTTAGGTGGGCCTATGGACATACTCACCGTCAGGCCCTGGGACCCAGACCTTGAGCTGTTTAAGGGGCCCCAAAAAAATGGAGCTGCTTCCCATTCTACTAGAATGAATTTTGTGACCACAGTTACAAACAGCCTTCAGAGATCCTCTTCTACACCAGACCAGTGGAGCCAAACCGCAGCCCATCATCATCCTCATCTGGTTGTAAGTAGGCAATCTAGTATATTATTAGTGACACTAATCTATAATTTACCTCACATTAAAGGGACACTATAGCTTAATGAAGTGGTTCTGGTGTCTATAGCCGGTCCCTGCAGGCTTTTTAATGTAAACACACACTGTGTGCAGCTTTGGCATTAGTTTATATGGCAGATTATATAGGTGGGGCATTGTGATGTCACATGGGGGGGGCAGATAATTTTTCCTTTGCCTAGGGCAGCAAAAATCCTTGCACCGGCTCTGATCCTGGGCAGGTGCACCAGTCTACTGGTGACCCACAGGAGGGGATTGCACTGCACTCTCCTCCTGCCCAGACCTGTCTTTACCGCAGTGCAAGTGCCCTCTGCCCCTAATTTACAGTGGCTCACACTCACAGCAAGCAGTGCCTGGAGCCATTTGCAGAGACGGGAACAAAGAGGTTCTGCGGCAGCTGGACGTCCTGCAAGCATTACATTAAACAGCTGTTCCCCATGCAGCCACAGGTGGTGCTGTGCTGGGAGAATGTGATTACTCTTCACTTCCTCCCAGCCTACAGCGCAGCGCATGGGAGAGGGAGAGGAGGCATGATTTAATCTTACAACAAATCCATTAAGCAAATCTTTGGGGGATCAGCTCTGTTTGCACAGTTTATTGGTGTTTACTCTGATGTCTGTATTAATATTGAGGGATTTCTAAGTAGTAACATCAGTATGTGTCAGCAGGGCCAGCCGTTGGGGTGTGCAAGCTGTGCGGTCACGCAGGGTGCCATGACAACAGAGGCGCCCGGCAGCCAACACAGCTCACAAGTTGGGTACACCAGCATATTCAATTTAAATGATTCGCTGGTGGTCCACTGGTGCGCACCAGCAGTAGGTGCAGTCAGATCATATCCTCTCCCTCATGGTTCTGGCGCTCAGTTAGTGAGTCAGAGCACAAGCTCAGAGATTCTCAGACTGCGCTCTGACAAGATTGAAAGTCAGAGCCGTGAAGGAGCGGGTATGGCAAAGAGCTACTGATTAGCATAACATCAATATCCGTTATAAAACCAGGTGGGCATGGATGGTGAACTGATTTGGTGGTGCAATGGGCCACTTGACTGGTTTTGCCCCCCAGGCCTCAGGCTGCCAGCCCTCCCCTGGTGTGTTGTGTGGTCCTTGATTCTGGAGTTTACACTCATCTCTAGGTGTGTGATTTTTGCAAATGCCTTTCGCTTAGCATTGCCATGTTTATCTTCTCCTATGTTCTCTATCTCTCCTGTGTCTGTTGCCCAGAGCTGTGTTAGTCACCCACGCTCGCTCACTCCGGTCCATAGCCACCATCTCGGGTGGGCGGACCCCTGTGACTGGTCTACATTTAGGGAAGACGCACGGGACCCAGATCCTCGTGGCTGTCGAGCACTGTAGACTTTCCTCTTTCTTCTTCTCCCTCCCTCTGTCTCTGTCACGTGGCACCCTTTGTTTGGTAAAGATGGGGCTGGAACACACTAGACCTGCTAAGGGATCTTTGGCTTGTGATATTGTAAAGGAGAGGGCAGGAGAAGAAGCTATGTTGAAAATAAAGAAGATAGCCAAGATTTGTGGTTTCCAAATGTCGCCTAGCGGTAGGTTACAGACAGAATTTTGGAGGAAACTGCTTGTTGATAAGGAGGGTTTGTTGCTGGATAATGGGTTGACAAAAGCTGTAGAGGCTTGGTATCGGGTCGCTAGAGGACTCAAACGGGAGGGCTGGACAGAGGAAGAGTTAGACTTCGAGGGGTAGACGATTTATGTGTATCACCGAAATGTTTGCAATGATGATGTACCTCCCAGCATTTCCCGGCCACCGCCCTACGATGGCACCCAGAGCATGATAAATGACTCCCGCCCTGTCTCCCCCGTTAACGCCCAGACACCACCTTTTTGTGGTGTAGGTCAGGTCCCCACCCCATTGTGTCCCGTGCTCGGAGCTGACGGAGCCTATTATTACCCTGTACCGTTACATTCCTTTCCTCACACTCAGATACCCCAGCCGCCCTTCCAGCTCCCTATTGCCCCCGACCAGGTCCCATCATCACCTCTCCTCCCAGCCCTCTGCGATGCCCCTTTGCCTCCTCCACCTCCTTGTCCCCCACCCCTCCCACTGTCCCCACCTATTCCTATTGTTCTCCCATCAGTCCCTCCTTCCCCCGTTCCTGATTCCATTCCATTAACTCCTGTCCCATCTCCTACCACTTCTATTTCGCCATCTCTCTCTGCTACTCCTGCTACCCCGGCCTGTTCACCTCCTGATACTCCTACTGGTCTGTTGTCATCTCTCCTTTCTGCCATTTCCACCACTCTCGGCCATCCCTATCACCCTACTCTGCCTCCTACACTCCCCAATGTCCCTTCCGTCCCCGACCCTCTTCCCAATTCTACTAATCCTCTTCGCACTGACCAGCAATCTCTCCTCTCCGCCCTCTCAGCCTTAGCTCAGCCCACTACTCCTGTTCCTCCCACTACATCTTCTGACCATCCACCCACTCCTACTAATCCTCCTCCCACTGACATGTCATCTTTCCTCTCTGCCCTCTCAACCTTAGCTCATCCCACTACTTATGTTCCTCCTACTACATCTCCTGACACTCCACCCACTCCTACTAATCCTCCTCTCACTGACCTGTCATCTTTCCTCTCTGCCCTCTCAGGCTTAGATCATCCCAATCCTCCCACTACATCTTCTGACCCTCCACCCACTCCTACTAATCCTCCTCCTACTTACCTGTCATCTCTCCTCTCTGCCCTCTCAGCTCTGGCTCGTCCCACTACTCCTATCCCTCCCACTACACCTACCGCCATTCTTCCCACTACTCCTCCGACCGATCTGTGGTCACTACTCTCTACCCTTTCCGCCCCCAAGTCCCAACCCTCTACCCCAACCCTCTGTCCCTCCTACTACACCTTCCCTCACTCCTTCCGTACCTGTCCCTACTGCCTCTGACCCGTTGTCTGCCCTCGCCCTTGCCCTGTCCGCTCACCTGTCACGTCCAACCCAACCTGCCCCTACCCCTGCCTCCTCTATGGCCCTTGTCCCGTATTCCCCCGATGCAGATCCCAGTTACCCGCTCATGGTGGTCGGCTCCGATGAGTTCGCCACTTCGGGACAACCCTATGCTATGGGTGTTTCTCCGGCAACCTCAGGCTTCCATCCTACTACGTCACAGTTGGGCACTCCCCAAAACATTGTCACTGGCCTCCCTGCCCCTGTCACTTTGGCCGCACAGGCTCCAGCTTCCCTTGATGTTGCCTCCTATCATGGCCTTCCGATCCCTGTCCCTCCCGGGGATGACAATGTACAAGCGCATAGCCTGTTCCGCCCACAAGATAACAGACCCTCACAGAGACAGGCTACCTCTGGAGTGCACCTCCAGGTATCCCCCGTTACCAAAGGTGCTCCACCTATGTATGTCACGTTCAATCCCTCACAAGCTGCCACCTTGGTCACTTCTCTCCCTGACCCAGAGAAACAGCCCATGCCCTTCTTCCGCAGAATGGCTCAAATCCGTAAGACATACTCCGCAGCTTGGCGGGATCTTTACAGTTTGTGTGAAATCAAAGCCGGTGATGCCTACCGGCCAATAATGGCGAGGAGTTTTACTGATGCTCCTCTTACCACTGACACGGATTTCCAGTCAGGTATTACCTTTTGTGATCAACTTCGTGCCTGGGCCCAAGACAAATTAGCTGACCAAGCCACTTGTATAAATGACATCGTTCAGGACAAACTTTAGTCTGTAGAGAAATATCACTCACGACTAACCCAAATCTTTTCTGATCTTGGGTTTAGTACATATAATAAAGTGCATACTCAGATGTTGTCAGCCGCCTTCGTGACTGGCCTGATGGAGAACATTCGTAAGGGTTTAATCCTCTCTCACCCTGAATATAGAATAATCTTTCTAGATACCATGTTGTTGGTAGCTAAGGGTTTAGAGTCTGCGTTTCAGCCTGTACAGAGAAGACCTAACCCTCTGATGCTTAATGCCCCAGCTCCTGCCACTGGGCCAACCCATGCGCCCCATGTGTATCCCATGCAACGGTCCATGATCCCCACTCAGGATCGGACCCCTGTGGCCAGAACCTGTTATAATTGCCATCAGACTGGCCACTTCCGAAGAGAGTGCCCTCATCCTAGGTTTAATAGGCCACTGCTCCCCAGATATTCTAATCCTTCTGCTGCTGCTGCCTATGGATATCTCCCTCCAAGGTACTTTCAACCACCACCACCTCCCCTGGCTCCGTACTTCCCACCTCCTGAGTATTCCCAAGCCCCCCCACCTCCTTCTGATGCCCGTACTTATCCTCCAGCTCCTGCTGACAGGTATGATGCCAGGAAGAACACCCCATACCTAGACAGAGCCGTCCTGCTCGCCCTGCCCCCCGACAAGTCTCCCTACTACCCCTGCACGCTACTACACTGGTCCTGACCAAGCTCATTTAGATTTATTGCAATAGGTAACCGGCAAGCTTGTGTCTGATACCCCTGTTATGGTAGTGTCTTCAGGGGATGGGGGGGGGCTCTCGCTACAGTTGTCCTGCCCATTGAGGGACATCCTACTACCTTTTTAGTTGACACAGGTGCAACCCGCAGTGTTCTTAGAGAACAAGACCTGCCAGACCCATCCTACCTGTCAGACACCGATGTATCTTGTGTAGGTGTTGATGGTACTCCCCGCAGCAATCCACTAACTAAGCTCCTGCGTGTGGGTTCTGGTATCCTTTCACGGTTTGTTGTTTCTTCCACCTGTCCCATTAACCTTTTGGGTGCTGATGTTTTGTCCCGCCTTCAGGCCTCCATTACTTTCCCTGCAGATGGTCAGGTCCAACTACTCACACCCCTATCACGCAAGGACACTTCTGTCCTTTGTTCTCTGCCCCTGCTACTACATCTTACGTCTCACATAGGAGAAACAAGGGTCACGGATGCTCCCAGTGCTCTGGACAGAATCCCTGCCAAACTCTGGTCCACGGGCCCAGATGACATAGGCCGCTTACGTGTTCCGCCAGTTGTGGTTACCCTTTTGCCAGGAGCTGCCCCACCATGAAGACCTTAGTACCCATTGAAACCTGCAAAGGCTCTTGCCGTCTCCAAGCAAGTTGACAGCCTCCTAGCAAAGGGAGCTCTTATCAAATGTGTGTCGCAATGCAACACTCCCTTGTTCCCTGTTAAGAAGAAAACCGAAAAGGGCCAACCAGATCAGTACCGCATGGTCCAGGATCTGCGTGCCGTTAATGATGTCACTGTCAGAGACACCGCTGTTGTCCCCAATCCACACACCTTGTTGTCGCAAGTCCCATCCACTGCCAAGTTCTTCACGGTGGTCGATCGTGCCAACGCCTTTTTCAGTGTGCCTCTGGATCCGTCCTGCCAACATCTCTTTGCCTTTACTCATGACTGCCAACAGTACACATGGACTGTCATGCCACAGGGGGCGCAGAACTCTCCTACTCAGTTTGCAAAAGCCATGTCTACTGTTTTGGAACCCTGGCAAAAGACTCACACAGACGTAGTCTTGCTCCAGTATGTTGATGACCTACTACTCTGCGCTGCTGACCTCCCAACTGCTGAGCGTGATTCCGAAGATCTTCTATATTTTCTAGCTGAAGAAGGTTGTAAAGTCTCGAAATCCAAATTACAGTGGTGCCGGCCCTCTGTGGTCTTCTTGGGACATTGCCTCTCCCATGGCACCCGTCATCTCACCAGAAACAGAATTCTTGCTATTTTGAATTTGCCACCTCCATCTACTCATCAAACCCTACATGCCTTTTTAGGCCTCATTACTTTTTGCCGATCGTGGATTCCTGAAGCTTCCCAGCTTATGCAACCACTTTATGATGCTTTAAAGAGCGAACCATTCTCACTATCACCTCAAGCACTAGCTTGATTTGCAGCCCTGCAAAAGGCAATTTCCCCTGCACTCTGGGTCTACCCAACTACCAGTTGCCCTTCAAACTGTTTGTTTCCGAAAAGATGGGCCATGCTTCAGGGGTCCTTACTCAATTACATGGCTCACGACAGAGACCAATTGGCTCTTTTTCCTGCATGCTTGACCCCGTTGCCAGGGGTAGTCCTTCCTGCCTGCGGGCGGTGTTTGCTGCTAGTGCATTATTGGATAAGACCAATGACTTCGTCCTCGGACATTCTCTAACTGTCCTCGCTCCACATGACATTTCCGCTATTTTACAACAAGTCCAACCAAAACACCTTTCCTCACAACGCCATCTTCGTCTACAGACGTCTTTACTGTTGCCCGACAATTTGACTCTTCAGAGATGTTATACCCTAAATCCGGCCACTCTTCTGCCACTTCCCAAGGGGGGAGTAGCCCACTACTGGTACAGCTTAGACATTAATCCTGAAGTCCGGATGGAGTTTCAATTACCTACTCCCACAGCTCCACATGATGTGCAACCGGAGAACTTGCTGCATTGCACTTTATGGTTCAAAGACACTCCAGGCCCTGACTCATACTATGAAGAAGAGTTGTTCCACTTAATGGAAATACGCATCACACTAACAGATTTATTATGTGATTCCAAGGGTAACATGGTCTTGTTGGTTTACCTTTCAATGGAAGTATTACATCTCTACCACCACTGGGAAGTGGCTGTCCCACATGTTTCATTCACCAAGTCTCCTGACCTCTCGTGGGGAGATCTGGGCCCTATGGCCAAATCCTGGAGCACCGCAACCCAAGAACAACTCGCACAGGCGGGAATTACTAAAAAGACCGTTAACTGCAATGCAGTTGGTTACCCTCGATACAGAGATATGCAAGGATCTCCCTCCCATAGGACAAGATCCAGAAGCCGCCCATGACTGTTTTGAACAGATGAAGATGGAAACCACCCACTTACCAACCGTGCATGACACTGCCCTGCCTAATCCAGACTGTACATTGTTTGTGGATGGCTCCAGATTTGCTGACGAACAAGGGCAATACCACACTGGATATGCAGTCACTTCAGAAAATCAAGTACTGCAGGCTGCCGCACTCCCACCGTCAAAATAAGCTCAAGAGGCCGAACTAACAGCCCTTACCATGGCCTGTAAGTTGTCTGAAGGTACACGAGTCAATATTTATACAGATTCAAGATATGCCCTAGGGGTGGCACGTGACTTTGGTCTGATTTGAAAAACAAGGGGTTTCCTCACAGCCACCGGTACTCCGGTGAAACATGGGGCAGCTATTGAAGAACTGATGGATGCCCTGCTACTACCTGAAGAGGTGGCTGTACTGAAGGTAAAAGCCCACAGTAGGTTGAACTCAGAAGAAGCCCAGGGCAATAACCTGGCTGACCAGGCTGCTAAGGAAGCAGCACGGCAAGGATGGAAAGTGGACAGAAGAGTGGCCGCCGAGAGGACCCCCATCTATACTATGCAAACTCTACCCACAGATCTCAAACTCTTGAGAGAACAACAAGCTGCAGCAACCCCTCAAGAAAAACAGAGCTGGAAAGACAAAGGAGCAATCCTTCGAAATTATGTTTATACCATCAACCTCAAGTTTTGCTTACCCAGAAATATGTACCCAGCTGTTGTCCAGTGGGCCCACGTACCAGCCCATTTGTCCAAACATCTGATGAACTCCCTAACTGATAAATACTTTGAGGCACCTGGTATTACCACTCTGACACAGAACTATTGCAGATCCTGTACTATTTGCGCCAAATGTAACCCCGGGAAGATTATCAAAGCTGCTCCTAATCACCTGGCCAAACCACATTATCCCTTCCAGAGAATTCAGATTGACCATATTCAGATGCCAAATAGTGGACGATATGAGTATGCACTGGTCATAGTGGACATGTTTTCAGGATGGCCTGAAGCCTTTCCAGTTGCTAACCTTACAGCAAAAACCACAGCAAAGCATCTCCTTACAGAAATCTTTTGCCGGTATGGGGTTCCAGAAGTGATTGAAAGTGACCAAGGAACCTCCTTCACCGCTCTGTTAACAAGGGAAGTCTGGGCAGCACTGGGGGCGACCCTTGTCTTTCACACACCTTATCATCCGCAGAGTAGCGGTAAGGTAGAACGCATGAATGGCACGTTGAAAGCCAGAATGCTCAAAATGTCTCAGGAAACTAACATGCCCTGGCCAGAGAGTCTTCCCTTAGCACTGTTCAGCGTACGGTATACACCAACGGGGAAGTTCAGTCTATCCCCTTATGAGATTTTGTTCGGTACAGCACCTAGGTTAGG